ATACTGCCAATGGCAGCGCTGTAGGAGGGGGACAGCTCAAAACGGAGGCCCCCACCTCTGTTTAATGATGAACGGTCTTTCATTAGAAAAAATGGCTTCTTTTACTCATCTCTCAAACCAATGTTCCTCCCTATCAAGAATGAGAACATCCTCATCTCTGAAAGAGTGACCGCTGGCCTGTAAATGAGTGAAAACTGCAGAGTTCTGGCCATTAGAATTAGCTCGTCTGTGTTGGGACATTCTTTTGAACAGTGGTTGCTTTGTTTCCCTGATGTATAACTGGTCGCAGTCCTCCTGGCACTTAACAGCATCAGACTGAAGAAGTCTCTTGGAGGAGAGACGAAACATTTCATTAGAGAAGAACCCGTCCAGAAGACCTATACAGTTTTTTTTTCTTTTTGGTTTCAAAGTAAACTACACTACCGCCGCTACTACGACCAAGTTAGAGGAAAAAAGTGGGTCAACAAGACAAAACTTTATACAAATAAAAAAGAGAGGAGCCACGGTCAGAGTGAAGAAGCGTTTTAGTACAAATATGCTTTTATCAGTACAAACTGCAAACTGCAGCCCATTTATCCTCAATGATGGGAAAAAATGGAGTGAAACACAATCTTTGCTTTTTCTTCTTCTAAAGAACCACCAAGAACTGCAACAGTAGAGAAACTTCAGCCCAAAACAAACTGTTCTGTAGGAATTACTTATTTCAATTCAATAAACCATGTTACATGTAGCTATTGTTATTTTAGCCTACTAGACAAAAAAAAAAAACTCTCAGATAAGCATAACAAATATAAAAAAAAAAACACAGTTATTTGGGCTGCCATTTGTTTGCAATCTTAAAATCTGGTGCCTGCTTAAAAGTTTTATTTTGTTAAAATAAATCAGCGGACAGGAAATTGTTTCATCGGGTTTCTTTTTAACTTTACGGATCAGTAAACCTAAACTAGATCAGGCAGTGTCCCCTGTTGATCACTCTTTGACCATGCATACTGCAGATGAAGCTGGTTTTACTTGCCACTATTTGGTTTAGGTTAATCTTTGTTCATTTTTTTTTCCTGAACTGTTGGATTTTCGCAGAGTGATTGCAGGTTTTTCCTGCACATGCGGCATTACATTCATGTAGGTAAAAACTCAGAAATAGTCCAGAAGTATCGCCAAAGCTGTTTTGAAAGAAACAGAAAACTGAGGAGCTACTCAATTAAAAGTACGGCTAAATTAAATTATAGTACACTTTGATAATACACTTTTTTTTGCTTTACTTTTGACAGTAATGAACGCCTCCTTTAAAAGCTAAACTACTCCACGCTCTGTTGTCACCGGTCTTGTATCCTAACAACGCTGGAATAGTCCAATTTGAGGTGTGGGGGGGTGTTTGGTTACAGGTTTTATAATGTTTTCGATAAAAGAAAACGTTTTTCTTAAATGTTTACATGCAGAAGTATTTTATTAAATCTAAGTACGATTCTGTACGCAAACTTCCTGACCTCAAAGATCAACTGTAACTTTGTTTTTATGTGCACTGAGTCTAACCCCCCCTCTTCCAGCTGGCACAACTGGACCCGTCAGCCTTCCGCCGACAAACAGCGGCTCGTTGAAGAGGTATGTATGTTTTAGGTACGGGGAAAAGCTGCAACACTAAAAAGGGGGGAAACGTATAAAGAGTTTAACTTTTTGTAGTATTTTCTTCGTTTAAAAGTTTAAATCAATTTAAAAATTCACCCGTGTCCGAATAAACATAAAACCTTCGAGGTTGCGGACAAGTAGATACATAAACATTAAATAGCCATTTGTTGAACTCACCTTTAGTTTTTAATGGCAACTAAAGCTTTACTAGCTCACATGTAACCAGTTACTTCACATAAATAAATAAAAAGTAAAAGTAAAAATGCTTACCTGTCAGTTGTTCACTCTAATTAGACCGCTGTTTCAAACAGGTGTGCAGTTAATTAGTGCCAGCTGTTTCAAGTCTTATGACTTTTTAAGTCTTATGTGGACCTTTGTTGTACAACATACACTGTATAGTTTTTATGATGATTATGTTTTACTTCCCTTTAAAATATAATTTTAGCCAGTGTTAAAAGTTTCAAAGAGCAAATAATTCAAAGACATTGGGGTTACTTTAGCAGTACTGTTGGATATAATGAACAAAACACTGGAATGCTTTTACTTGCTTTGTGTTTTAGCAAACAATTTTCATGAGAAAATCCCGGCCTCTGACATGTGTTTATCTGTTTTTCTCCCCGTACAGGAGAGATGGAGAACTTTATCTTGTATGAAGAGCTCGGGGCAGGACAGAGCTCTGTTGTCTATAAAGGAAGGAAAAAGGGCACCCTGAACTTTGTAGCCATCCTTTGCACAGACAAAGCCAAGAAAGTGGAAATCACTAACCATGTAAGATACTATTTTTAACTATTCAAACTTACTAAATTGTTTTCATTTTCATTGTTTTAAGTAATAGTAACAGAGCTGGTTGTCATTGGGGTTTGGGGGTAAGTCTCAGAGTCTTGTTTATAAATGGTGGTAAGGTCATAGGAGTTAAGTTGACAGATTGTGGTCTGGTTCACGGTAATAAAATGGTAAATGGACTGTACTTATATACAGTGGGGAAAATAAGTATTTAGTCAGTCACCAATTGTGCAAGTTCTCCCACTTAAAAAGATGAGAGAGGCCTGTAATTGACATCATAGGTTGACCTCAACTAYGAGAGACAAAATGTGAAAAAAAATTTGAGAAAATCATTTTGTCTGACTTTTAAAGAATTTTTTTGCAAATAATGGTGGAAAATAAGTATTTGGTCAATAACAAAAGTTCATCTCAATACTTTGTTGTATATCCTTTGTTGGCAATGACAGAGGTCAAACGTTTTCTGTAAGTCTTCACAAGGTTGGCACACACTGTTGCTGGTATGTTGGCCCATTCCTCCATGCAGATCTCCTCTAGAGCAGTGATGTTTTGGGGCTGTCGGCGGGCAACATGGACTTTCAACTCCCTCCAAAGGTTTTTGATGGGGTTGAGATCGGGAGACTGGCTAGGCCACTCCAGGACTTTGAAATGTTTCTTACGAAGCCACTCCTTTGTTGCCCTGGCAGTGTGCTTGGGATCATTGTCATGCTGAAAGACCCAGCCACGTTTCATCTTCATTGCCCTTGCTGATGGAAGGAGGTTTGCACCCAAAATCTCACAATACATGGCCCCATTCATTCTTTCATGTACACGGACCAGTCGTCCTGGTCCCTTTGCAGAGAAACAGCCCCAAAGCATGATGTTGCCACCCCCATGCTTCACAGTTGGTATGGTGTTCTTTGGATGCAACTCCRCATTCACTTTCCTCCAAACACGACGAGTTGTTTTTTTTACCAAATAGTTCTACTTTGGTTTCATCTGACCATATGACATTCTCCCAATACTCTTCTGGAACATCCAAATGCTCTCTAGCAAACTTCAGACGTGCCTGGATATGGACTGGCTTAAGCAGGGGGACACGTCTGGCACTGCAAGATCTGAGTCCCTGGCATCGTAGTGTGTTGCTGATGGTAGCCTTTGTAACATTGGTCCCAGCTTTCTGCAGGTCATTCACTAGATCCCCCCTTGTGGTTCTGGGATTTTTCCTCACCGTTCTTGTGATCATTTTGACCCCACGGGCTGAGATCTTGCGTGGAGCCCCAGATCGAGGGAGATTAGTAGTGGTCTTGTATGTCTTCCATTTTCTGATTATCGCTCCCACAGTAGATTTCTTCACACCAAGCTGCTTGCCTATTACAGATTCAGTCTTCCCAGCCTGGTGCAGGTCTACAATTCDGTTTCTGGTGTCCTCCGACAGCTCTTTCGTCTTCACCATAGTGGAGTTCGGAGTGTGACTGTTTGAGGTTGTGGGCAGGTGTCTTTTATACTGTTAACGACTTCAAACAGGTGCCATTAATACAGGTAATGAGTGGGGGAAAGAGGAGCCTCTTAAAAAAGAAGTTACAGGTCTGTGACAGCCAGAAATCTTGCTTGTTTGTAGGTGACCAAATACTTATTTTCCACCATTATTTGCAAAAAAATTCTTTAAAAGTCAGACAAAATGATTTTCTCAATTTTTTTTCACATTTTGTCTCTCATAGTTGAGGTCTACCTATGATGTCAATTACAGGCCTCTCTCATCCTTTTAAGTGGGAGAACTTGCATAATTGGTGACTGACTAAATACTTATTTTCCCCACTGTAGCACCTTTCTATCCATCCAGGACACTCAAAGTGCTTCACACTACAGACATTCACCCATTCACATTCACATTCACACACTGATGATGGCAAACTACAATTGTAGCCACAGCTGCCCTGGGGCACACTGACAGAAGCAAGGCTGCCATACACAGGTGCCACCGGACCCTCTGACCACCATCAGTAGGCAAGGTGGGTAAGGTGTCTTGCCCAAGAACACAATGACTGAGTCGACTGGACGGGGATCGACCCAGCGACCTTCCGGTTCCAGAACGACTCCCCTAACCACTCTACCACAGCCGCCCCTAATAAGGGTCTTGCTTCAGGTTGCTGTGAAGAAGGAGAGGCAAAGCTGTAAAGTTACTGGTCTGTCTACATTCCAGCTCTTACGTGTGGATCATGACCAAAAGAATAAGATCTTTGATGCAAGTTGCTGAAATTAGCTTTTTCCATGATGGCTCAAAATAAAGCCTTGGAGAAGGGCGTCCTGCTGCTCCTCCACATTCAAAGGAGTCAGCTGAGGTGGTTTGGGCATCTGATGTGTGTCATTGGGAAAAGATTCTGGGGCAGACCAGACCAGGAACTAGCTGGAAGGATTATGGATTTCCTCAGGCAGGAGAACTCCTTGGGATCCCTCAGGACGAACTGTAGAGAGTCACCGGGATGTCAGAGTTTTCTCCCCTCACAACCTTGGATAAGCTGTAGTTCATGAATGGATGAAAGGACACCCAGTTTTAGTGATCTTCACGAAGCTGAAAACACTTATAAATTGAAAAACAATAAAAAAATACACCCTTAAGAAATAATCCAAATAAATATGTAATTACGTTTTTTGGTGGCTTTTTGTGCAGCATTTTAAGGATGGAACTATTACTGCTGAGCCTTATGATAAAGACTGCTTTTGGTGACGTATTGTTTGTTTTTCGTCAGGTACGACTCAGTCAGGATTTGGATCATCCAAATATAGTCTGCTTTTATGAATGGTACGAGACAAGTAACCACCTCTGGTTGGTGGTTGAACTTTGTACAGGTTAGTAAATGAGTTGTCTGCTTGTGACTCATTCTGTAAAATACCTTCTGCTCTTTTGCTCTCACAAAATTATATTTAAAAAAAATTGTCAGCCTATACTTTAACAACCAGAAACGTTTTTCATGATGACAGTTAAATACGTATATATATTTACTCCTGTTTTAGTTTTTCTAATGTAAGCTGGAGGTGTTAAAGTAGTGAGCTGAGCATGCCTTACTTTGCTCTGTTTTTTTCTTTTTAACGTTCAATCTTTTATATTTTGATATTCTGTCAGGGGGTTCCCTGGAGTCTGTTGTTGCTCACGATGGACGTTTGTCAGAAGATGTTGTGAGAAGGTTTGGATGGGACTTGGCCAAAGCGTTGAAACACATCCATGAATTGGGAATCATCTCGTCTGACCTAACTCCTGCTAAGGTCTTCAGTCAAACAGATATAAGATTAATTACTAATAATATTACAACTGTGTGAATCTAATAATGTTTTGTTGCTTTTTAGATCCTTCTTGATGGTAGTGGCATTTTGAAGTTGAGTAACTTCCGCCTGTCCAAAGCTGAAGAAGAGAAACTGGAGGAGATATTTACGTCCTTGTCTACATGTGAGGAAGAAGAGGAAAGCAGTGACAGCTTTGAAAACATGAAGGAAAAAGTACAAGGTTAGATTTTAGTCATGATGCTTGTGCACATGAAGATAAATTATCTGTAACAGATTTTTGTTGATCAGTCTAATTATTGTAATACACATTTTAAAGTAAAAATATTTAGATTCTAATCTTTTGCATTGTTCATATTTCCTGCGGCATTTGTTGTTTTTTAAATTTTCATTGAAAAAAAAATCTATGTAACATTTTAAAGTGTCTCTTGACTCTCAGATATTTTTTTTTAACATTTTTAACCTAGGCTGCTTTTTGATTATTTTCAGTTCAGTGTTTGTTATTGTACATTTTAACAAAGATACATTTTTGAAGTCACAAAATGCAAACTTATAAAAGATTCCTAACCACACAAAGAATTGAGTGTTGTTGATATGGAAAATAAAAAAAGCAAGACTTCTTTTCTGCAACTTTATTATTGGTGTGTAACAAACACATAACTTGTTCCCATTTCTTCAGTTTCATCTGTAAAATATATTAAAGATACTAAGGTGTGGTAGATATACATGTTTGTTGTTGCAACTGTTGCAACAATAAGTGAATACCAAAGAGCAGAAAGAAATCAGTGCTTTGTCCAATATTAGCAACGTGATGTTTTCTTGCACTTTTTTCTTGCACTTTGTTTGGTGTTTTTTTTTCCCCAAGTCTGTTTGTTTACTTGTAGGTTCTCTGATGTACAGTGCTCCAGAGATTTTGCAGGGATCAGAAACCAGTGTGAAGTCTGACCTTTGGGCTTTTGGTTGTATTCTCTACTACATGCATATGGGTACTCGCACACACTCATACATAATAACACAAGAATGCATCGCAAGTAAATAAAAATGGATAAAAGATTATTAAATGAAATTTGATTTTCAATATTTTTTATTTCACTATTTGGAAATCAAACTTAAGTAATTTTAATAAAACAAAATTATATATATATATATATATATATATATATATATGAATATGAATATTTATGAATTGTTCTGAAAACCTAATAATAGGGTTAGTAATGCATATAAGATAATCAGTCTAGACTTAAAATATAAAATATTACAGTTGGTTAATTACAAGTTATGACACGAACATTATTCACATTTTAAGTTATACTAGCATTAAAATTATAATCTTTTTGTTTTCCAGGTAAACCTCCATTCTGTTGTGACAACCACACTGATCTGAAAGAAATGATTCTGCATCAGGAACCACCTCCTCTCAGAGAAACAAGTAATGTTAACTCTTACACACACACACACACACACACACACACACACACACACACACACAC